TGGAAAAGGAATTCATGTCCTTTATTTATGTGAGGGTTTGAGAGTGAAAAATTGTATCATAAATCATGATGAATAATGTGGGGCATCCGCCTTCCACATAAGAAATTGGTGGGAATCTGCCATCGCCCATCCAATCAGAATTCTTATTCCCACCAAAAAAAAACCCCTACCTCTAAACTCCCATTCCTACATATATCTAGAGAACATTTAGCACTACCAAGAAACTATATCAATCGGTTGAGGTGTACAAGGACTCTGAGTACATGTCTTTCGTGAGATCCTATAGTAGCTAACCATTTGACACAATTCATAAACACAGGAGCCACGGGACCTTTTATTCAACCTGTTCCCAAGAAAACAAGCTCAGCGTGAGTAACCTTGAGACAAGTCAAATGCAACAATACTAAGACCCTTGCACAATTTGCAGCTTTGGAAACTGAACCTTGTGATGATTTTGCAATCAAGAACCACAGATTCAAGTAAAAAGTAATAGTTCTCTGTCAAGCCTTTGAGCATTGAAAGGCATATGGATCTATGACTGGTAGCTATCGACTTTCCCTTTTGCAAAAGGTTTCCTGTCATCTCATCATAACTCATAATCATTTCACGTGTTATGATGCACACAGTCTAGTGAGATTTCAAACAAGGAAAAGGGTATGCTATTTACTATGACAAGTTGGATCAGCAGAAAAAAAATAGTTCCCTTTTCTGTTGTGAAAACATAAACCTTATCACATTTTCTTTTAAGCTTCAGATCAGAAGTCCTAACAGAAGTAGAAGTGATTCAATATTGAACAAGACTATGTTGGTGATAACACAGAAGCGATGGAAGACCCCTGCAAGCAATCTGGCCCTTTGGTGCTTATTATTTGAAATATTGAATGTACACTGACAACTTTATGGAATTCTTGACCTATAAGAATATTTGCATTCCAAAGCTAAAGCAGTCAATGAATGCTACAAATATACTCAGACTTGTGCCTCACTTTTAACTTCCCTGAGATGTAATACTTAATACATGAATCTCGTCAGATATAGGTGAAGAAAATGTGTACCGTTAAATTCAGTCATGAAAGTAGACCAGTCCCATGATTACAAATAGCGAATCAACTCAACCTCATATTTTCCTTTCCTTGTAGTCACAATTTCCCCAATCTAGAGAAGAAATGAACAAGCAACATAAATAAATGAAGCAGATGACATTATGTATTTAAGTACACAAAGGACTTCAGAAATTCGCAAAACAATAAAAATATTCAGTGACATGCATACTAGGCCTATTTGTCTATCATCTGATTCTAAGACATCGCTGTCAACAAAGCAATATATTTACTTCATTGATATAGAACAAAAAGATGCTCAATTAATTCTCTAGATTTTACATCAGTTCAAGCTAAGGGAGAGAGCAACAGATCAATAATGATACCACAAACTTCACTAGTAGGGGGGGGGCGCAGACCCAGTGCCGGAGGCTCCCACATGAGTGGGGTCTGGGGAAGGGAAAACCGAGGCAAGCCTTCCCCCCGCAAAATCTGCGGAGAGGCTGCTTCGAACCCGTGACCTGGTGCCTCAGCGAGACAGCTCTCACCACTGCACCAGGCCACTACATAGCAAATTTTTTTGGCTTCACTGGAAATATTGAGCTTCAGGTGCGTGTTCCTGGACAAGGTGTGGTGTGAGTCTGTCTTGTAAATATTTTTTTTCTCCATCTTAATGCAATGATATGCAGTTCTCCTGTGTATTCGAGAAAAAATATTGAGCTCATGTTTAACAGCATGTGAAAGCCATCTAAGGACCAACCTGTTGGAGGCAGTCTGCAAACACATCAAACCGTTAAATGCCAAATGTCACACTACGATTTTTCATTAATACATGTTTGATAGTCCACCAGCCATCTAATGCAATGTGAGAAACTTGCCGGTGAAAATTTTAAAAGATGCAAGTGAGGCTGTTTACTTGTTAGCAACACGTGGATTTTGATACGGTGGCCAATACGATCTCAGGTCTTCACTACTCTTTCTCTGATTAGCTCTGTGATTCAACACCTTAACAAATGCCACAGGCCTATAGGATGCATTGGATCACAAATATGTAGATTAAGACAAAGGACACTTGTCCCTTGATTTGAGGTGGAACAATAGCACGATTTCTAGGTGGTTAAAAACCAATGAGTGATGAAAGCAGTAATCATGAGCGAGATGGTCTGATATGGTGTCAGTGTTAGTGCCAAATTTACAGTAAGGGACATTATAAGCTATCCCAATCCAGAAATTTACCACCACCCTTGAGCACAAACACGCATGCACGCTTGGACATTGGTGCACTGGTTGCCCAATTGAACATGGAGGTGAAGGCATGTGCTAAGACATGCCTTGCCTGGCCCGTGCAGGGAACGCCAATAAGGTGCAAAAAGCATTTGCAAAGAGCAATGGCAAACATGCTGTCTACAATCCTAAAGCCGAAAACACAATGCCAGGCAGCCATATGGCCAGAAATGGGCAAAACTCTGTGAGTATGGTTTTTACTTTTTAGTGAGCTGAGTCTTAGGACATGGATTTACCTCTGTTGTACCTATGGCATGTCACTCACGACTCACTCCACAAGTTGATAGGTTCACACAGGAGGTAACATTATTTATTTGCTGAGTTTAATCTATTATGTTTTAGTCAGGCTGTCAATGGTTCCTCCATCTTAAGGGAAATGGTTTCAGTGCTGCTGTTCCTGGAGTGATATATGTACCTAAAGCTCATCTTGAAGAATGTGCAGCATGTGGCTTCAATGAAGAAGAACCAGATTAGTAGTTCCCACCTACGTCGAGATGGTTTCCGAATTGATCCTTTTTTTCAAAGATGGCTCTTGTATTGGAAAAGGCTTGTTGAACTCAAATAAATTACTAGTAAGCAATACTCTTAATTTGGACTGCCCACAATGGTAACTCCAAACTTTCTAAAAAAAATGATAGATTTTAGGCTTCTTTTTGCAAGCCTTGCGGTTTTCATATTATTCTTTGCACTCTTAAGCTTTATGAGAATAATGAGGTTATAACACTAAATAAGCATAGCTTAATCTTAGGAATTCTAAAGCTATTGCTCTGGACTGTGTCCAAACTGGGTGTTGCTAAAAAAAATCAAAACACAATAAAGGTGTGGAGAAAATATGAGTTTACAGCCTTCTCCTAATAACCAAACCAAATTCAGAAATAAAAGATTTATTAGACTGAAGGGAAAACAATCAGACCATCTCGGCATAGGAGAGAGCTGCTGATTAGGATCCACTTATTGAAGGCATGCATTGCACATACAGAAACAAAAAAAAACACAGGTAGACACACACTGCAAGAACAGCAACACTGGACACATTCCCACTAAGGATAAACGGCTGAGACCTTCATAAGGGAAAAGGGATTAAAATTAGCACATACATTTTTTTTGAAAACAAAAAATAGCACATGAATATTAGTGGCCACCTTTGCTTCCATGTGTAGGCATGCAATCAAGACATTGATCATCATGCCCTATTTGCTTGTGATAGTATGATTATAAAATGGCTTCAGGTTGTTGGTAGCTAGCTAGCAATAATGGGCCCTATCACAAAATTGCCATGGAAACTAGTGCCTAAGAAGGATACCTTTCGGTATCTGGGATCGATGCTACAGAGGGGTGGAGATATTGATGCGGACGTTAGCCATAGAATCAAAGCAGGGTGGATCAAGTGGCGACAAGCTTCTGGCATTCTCTGTGACAAGAGGGTACCACAAAAGCTAAAAGGCAAGTTCTATAGAACGGCGATTAGACCGGCTATGTTGTATGGAGTAGAATGTTGGCCTACAAAGATTCGACATGTTCAACAACTGAGTGTTGCAGAAATGCGTATGTTGCGATGGATTTGCGGTCACACAAGAATGGACCGAGTTCGGAACGATGATATACATGATCGCCTAGAGGTAGCACCAATTGAAGAAAAGCTTGTCCAACATCGGTTGAGGTGGTTTGGCCATGTCCAAAGGAGACCTCCAGAGGCACAAGTGCATTGTGGAGTCCTAAGCCAAGCTAATAATATGAGGAGAGGTAGAGAAAGACCGAAATTGACATGGGGGGAGACAATAAAAAGATATTTGAAAGCTTGAGATATACCTAGAGATCTATGTTTGAATAGGAGTGCTTGGAAAGCAGCTATTAAAGTGCCTCAACCGTGACTTGGGGCTCTTGGTGGGTTTCAACTCTAACCTACCCCAACTTGTTTGGGACTGAAAGGCTATGTTGCTGTTGTTGTTGTTGTTGTGAAACTATCCCTACAATCTTTGAGCTAGTGGCTAGTTATTGGTTATCTTGGAGTCGTAGTATTGTTCGATCACATAGATCATGCACCTTGTGTCTGAAACCCTGTATTTCAGAAACAACAACCTTGAGAGCAGCACTGTAACACCTCCATGAAAATGATGATCATGTGTGCCCATATCACTCATTTTTTCAGCAAGAACGTTGAGCCCTAGGGGGTCATGCATGAAAGTCAAGCCAAAAACCTCTACACTACCTGATGCATGGATAGACAAGCAAAGGCTTAAAGACACCGACTGCTAGACTACAAATTGCACGACAAGCAGCTCAGATCGAATAATACAATATTTGAAATTTGAATAGAAAATCAAGAAAGAAGAGAATCGGTTGTTGCTAGTCCAATTTCCATGCTCATGGAGATTTCCCGTTGCAATTGTATAGCCAAAAACTAAGAAAAGCAGCTAACCATGTCCCTAAGGACTCATTGCTTCGTTCCTTCATTTACGAAACAAGTCCTTGTTGCACTCCATTATTATTTAGGGTCAAATCAATACCAAACTGCAATGATATATGCAGCATATAGGCTATACCTTAATCTATATCTATTACCTAATATTAAATTAATGGGAGAATTTTTTTTGTCCACCCCTCAATGTCTCCATCGTCTGCACATCCACCCGTCCCCCAATCCCACCCTTCTTCTGTGACTCAGCCAGTCGTCCATCAATGCCACCCACCCACAATAGGAGTCTGAGGCCCAAAGCCCAACACAGCATCAGTTACAATTTGAAGATGCACGACTCATGGCATGACTTGGCTGCTTGAGCCCAAGCCCGAGCCCGTGCGTGTCGCGACTCGGCACACGTGGGCATGTGGCTCACCTTCCACTTTTCTTAACCTATTTAAGGTGAAACAATCTATAGTCAATTAACCTTATGGGATTAACCCTTTATTGCACCCAGCATATATTATGGGCTTGGAATTTATTTGATTCAATTGATGTTGGGCCAAGCCCAATTAAATCTAACAAATAGATAGCTCATTATAACTGGCATGGGAAGGTCCAAATGATCGCATAACAATTTGAACATTTTGTTGCAACGCATGGGGCATGTTTGCTAGTATATATTAAAAAGTAAGAAGCAGATTTCAACACATTTATGAAACAACATAGAGGAAAGGCCTCTCAAGCAATAGCAAGAAAGTAGCAGTATCAGATTGAAGTGAGAATAACAATTAAATTCTAAACGCGTACAAGCTTTTAACATTTTAAGAGAAAATCAGTGCATCTTTTCTTGTTTTTTTCCAATTACCTTTAACCTTCCCATCCCACTGACAGAAACAACATCTCCAGATTTGAGGGTAACTCCATTTTTCGTTGTTGGTGTCCAATTCACACGAACATCACCAGAACTGAGCAAGCAAAAGAGCGTGAATCCAGAAAAATAATTAACATTCATAGGCACTGACGACATAGTTCGTATTAGAATAGAACAAAGTTCAAACAAAACAATTGTGCTAAGATAAAAGTATGTTTTTTCTGATGTTAAGTTGACAATTGACACCTCAAAATTCATACCTTATCAAGCTAGCAAGCTTCGTGCGTGAGATTTTAAATCCTGCACTGGCAAGGGCATCAACCCTGAGTGATGATTCTACAGTTTTAAATGAATTGGTCCTGCAGTTTAGAGGAAAAATTGAGTCACTTGTGCCAGGTTTTTAAAACATAAAATTTTCAAAAAAAACAAGCTCAAAGTTTATATAAAGGTATGAGAACAGGAGTTCACCTTGGCGGTTCATATTCTAGAGCAAGCAAAGGAATCTGAGTGCATGAAACACCAACTTTCCCCACCTGTAGACAAACTCCCGTCGGAAAAGGACGGTAATTAGATTGGTTTACAACAAGCAGACCAAAGCAACCAAACACAGATTTAGCCCAAACTCTCAAAATGACAGGCATAAAACATCTCAGATCTTCTCCATCATACAGATTGATCAGAAAAAACAGGGATAAGTACACATCAAGCTCATAAAACGTGAACTAGGCAAAAGACAAGTACAGAACAGTAGCACAATTTGTAAGACAATCCACCTTTTCAAGGGTAGAAATCAGATAGTCAACAAGTTCTGGATCAACAAGGACCTGGGCACCTCGTCCCCCCTAACAAAAATGGAAATAGACATCACAAATGACGAGAATGGAAAAAGGTAGGAAATGACCAAATCATTCGGAAATCAGAAAACATGTGATTGGGTGTGCACCTGCAAAAGAATATCTCCAACTTTCTCCCTTGTTATTCCTGTCCCAAGAATAGCACCAAGAAAGTCACCATGAGAACAGGGTTCCAATCGGAAATTCCCTGAGATGCTGAGTTGGCCTCAATGTCAGCTTATATAGAAGATAGCAGTGCTTTATAAGGTAAAACTGAGAAAACCTCAAAGCGGCAACTACATCTGGGTTACTTGTCATGAAGTCCGGGTGTCCAACAGAGATTCGGCACCTCTCGGCCTAGATGAATATAAGAATAAGAAACTAGATAGGCTAATGGAGGCAATTAACAAACTACCATTTGGGTTATCAAATTTGACCTGAGGGTAGCCACCCTGAGCTACTGCTTTGATATCTGCTAACTTTTCAACTGCCAGCATAGCCTCTTTCACTATAGGTGGAGTAAGAAAATTGGTGTGGAAAACATCTCTTCGTTGGGAAGCCCTTTCTGCCTGCATAAGGATGTTAATATGAACCCATGAATACCAAGAATAACCATATATTTCTGAGGAATGCTAAAATAAACAAGAAAATGTAGTTAAAGCCATGTATTCTGTGTTTTACAAATTTCCATTTGAGATTATATGAATATAATAATAAAATTGTGCGATGACATGAAGCTATGCATGCATGCAACCATGTTAACAAAGTCAATACGACCACGTAGTGGCTTTTCTCTTTTGTCTATTTTCTTTTGGAAGGACAACCAGATCTTAGTTTATGATATGTTCTCCGTCATCTATACAGACAGCAGTAAATATGTTCTTCCGCTACAATACTCTTTTCCATCCTGTGCTTATTGCTGAATTTATATATGCATTTGCTGACTCCAGAACTGCTCTCACCTATTAGCTATCACAAGGGCAACCAGATATTAGTTTAGGGAGTTCTGTTTTGGCCATCATTAGAGACTTCAGCAATATGTTTTCCAGATACAATACCCTTAGTAGTGGAATCAGAATCCAGTCTCTTTTCCATCTGCATTATCTGTTGGATTTAAATGTGCATTTGCCAACTCCAGAACTGTTGTCACTCATTATCAATCACAAAGACAACATATGAGCTTTCTATCTTCAGAGACTACCAACATAATGTAGTTGAAAGTTTAGTTTGCATGCACAAGATGGACACTCTTATTGACAAACATTTTCATAGAACTGTAGAGAAAAGGGAGAGTATTTAGGATTTCTCATTGCCCCTGTTTTCCATACAATCCAATATTCTCTCGGAGTTAAAGCTGGAACATAGCTCAACACTGGCAATAGCGTCTGATTCCATCGCAAACCAGTTATGTCCAACAGACACTAGTCAGTAGTCACTAGTAGGTTACTATCGCTAGCAGTTATACAGTTCAATGACAACCAATTGACCCTGATTTCTCAATAGTCAAAGGTGAAAAAACAAATTACCATATCCAGAATGTTCCTGACTTCCTCCGCTGAATTCCTGTCCGCGCTTCTTTTAACCGCCGAATCCCTCGCTGCTGCAACGGCAATGGCGGTGCTATACCGTCCTGGCTCGGGCGGGCCAAGCGTCAGCGGATGAGGCAAAATCGAAAGATAAGATGGGCCTTCCGCCTTCGGGCTTACCTCGCGAGATGAAGTAGCACGTAACGGGGATGGCTCCGCGCGGTTGAGGGACGCGTAGGAGAAGCCAGAAAGAACTCGCCAACGCGAGCGAGGAGGCGGCCATCCCTCGTTCCAGGCCCCGGCGAACCTAGGAATTCGCCTCCTCTGGTGCCCGGTGCTGCTGGTCTGTATGGCCGTGTGCTGTTAAGCGGCGTCACGGCCTTGGGCCTTTGTGTGAAAAAATAGCGGTTCCCGAGTCCTGACCTATCCCGCTCCACGTCAGTCGTCACTCAAATTCGCCCGCCGCCGCGACCCCGATGACCACGCTCCTCCGCCGCCTGCTCCGCGCGGCTCCAGCCCCCGCCCCCGCTTCCCTCTCCAGCCACCTCCCCTTCTCCACCAGATCTCGCCGCACCCCTCACCGCTTCCGCCGCAGCCGCCGCGGCGCCAACCCGGCGCCGCCTTCCCCCGACGCCGTCTCCGCAGCAATCGCATCCCTCCCGTCCCGCCTCACCCCGCCCGTGCTCGCCTCCTTCCTAGCCAACACCTCCGACGCCCGCCTCCTCCTCCCGCTGCTCACCCACTCCCTCCACCTCCCCGCGTTCCGTCCCGACCCCGCCCCATTCCTCGTCGCCATCAAGCGCCTCGCCACCGCCGACCTCTACGCGGACTTCGACCGCACCTGCGCGCTATCCTTCTCTCTCCTTCCCTCGCTCTCTTCCCCTGGCCCCCTCCTCCGCAACGCGCTTTACTTCTACTGCCAGTTCGGCAGGCTCGGCAAGGCCTTCCACGTCTACACCCTCATGCGCGCCTCCGCCGACCCAGCAGCTCGCCCGTCCGCCGACACCTACCACGCGCTCTTCACCGCGCTGCTGTCGCGCGGACGCGGCGACACCTTGATCCATTACATGTACATGGACAACGTGTCGGCGCTGTTCAAGCAGATGCTCGAGGAGGGGATCCCGCCGGACACGCGCACGCTCAACGTGCTCATCAGGGGCTACGCGCAGTCGCTGCATCTCAACGACGCGCTGCGCCTGTTCCACCAGATGCGGCCCCTGTACGGGTGCGAGCCGGATGCGTTCACGTACAGCTACCTCGTGCACGGGCTGAGCGCGCAGAGCCGCACCAGGAACGCGCGGGAGCTGTTCGAGGAAATGCGCGGGAACGGTCTCCTGCCCACGGAGCCAGCGTGCAATGCGTTCGTCGGTGCGTTGGCTATGGCTGGGGAGGCCGGGGACGCAGAGCGGGTGATGTGGGAGATGGCCAGGGCCGGGAGGGTGGTGGATGACATCACAAGGAGGGCATTGGTGGAGGAGTTGTCTAGGGCCGGGAAGCGGGAGGATGCTGACAGACTAGCGAGGGAGATGGAGCAGAAGGGTATTGTGAGTGCTCGCGAGCTACGAGCACTGCTGAGTTCAATCCGCGACGACGGTGATGACAGTTTGGATGTGGATGATAGTGGGAGGAGCACCTGGTGATACCTTTTTTTTTTCTCTCGAGACCAGCGGCTCTCGGCAGCCTTCTAACCTATCCACGTCAGTGATTTTATTTTTTGGGCGTTGGATTGGAAATCAACGCTTGCTACTTGCCCCATCTCTTGCCGGTGAGGCGGCGACGGCCACATTTCTTCCGGTCGGGCTGGTACGGGGAGTCCTCGGCCTCGCGGTTTAGTGCCAAGGCTCTACCTCCGGCCGTATTAAAGTCACCTGATAAGCCAATCTTGGTTAATTTGTTGTAAGAAAAAAATATTATAAATTTTAGCTGATAAGCTGGCTGGTAAGTTCAAACGAACATGCCCGAGTGCTGGCAACGGTGGTGGGCTACAACAGGAAAAGGTGTACCATGTGCAGCGCTGTGCAATCAAAAGCAAGATCCACGGCTAACTTGAAGTCACCGGAGTGAGCTCGTTCATTAAACACTAGCTGTACAAATGACATTACCAAAGATCTATTGGCTCTTTTCAAATCCTTGTACTCTTCTAGCTTGGTACCACAAAGTTTTCAAACTCATGTGCTTTTTCTAGCCTATGGTGCACTGGGAGACCAGTGAGGAAGGTGTGACTGCAGGACGGTAAAATTTGTTCGTTTACTCTGATATGTACTCCCTCCGTCTCAAAATAGAAGTTATTATAGGATTCGTGCATGTCAAACATTCTCAACTTTGACTAAATTTGTAGAAAATACGTGCAACATTTATATCTTTAAATAAGTTTATTAGTTCCATTCGCTTCGCTGAAAAAACAAGCCGAAACACTTTTCCGGTTGATTTGTTGTGAGAGGTAAACACTGTTCCGGCTGAAAAAAAAAACTAAAAAGTAGGGATTATAAGAGAAGCGAACAGGGCCATTATGAAAGTATATTCAACGATCTACCTAATGATACTAATTATGTATTATAAATATTAATAATTTTTTATATATATTTGGTCAAAGTTAAAAGTGTTTGATTTATCGGGAAGCGAGAATGACAGCTATTTTGGGACAGATGGAGTAATTAGGTTCCACATGCTCCAATGATACCACAGAGATATGTACATTACTTTCTCTCAAGACATGTTAATGTTATGTGAAGTTACCTTCTTATTCAGTGCCTCAAATAATCTGGCTTATTTTCCATTAGTAATATAAGTAAGCTAGAGTCGAATTTCTTATGTAAGAACCTTTTTCCTGTAGAAATTTTATGGTAAGTAGAATCTTGGACCTTTCATATCAGGGAACATGAAGATCGCCATTTAGCAATCCAACTGAATGTGCATAGTTAATTACTCCATTGGCATAAAAATGCTTCTAACTGAGTTTGCATAGATAATTACTCCATTGACATAAAAATGATTCTAATTTAGACCACCAAGCAACTGCACTACATGGTTACCAATTTGTGAGAATTGAGAGATTGCGGAGAATTGCATTTGAGAAATGCATCTACATGTTGAATTGAAAGGCAAAAATATTCTGATGTCAGCAATTCTACTGTAGGATCTAATTGGCTAAGGCAAATTTCAGGAATGAGAAATACTCAGTACTATGTCAGAATGCTAAATCCCAAATGTAGTTTTCCTGCTGCTCATACTTAATGTCATGAAGATTTGAGATTGCATAGCTGTAGCGAGTTTTTTTAATTTTTCTTTGTTTAAAGCATCTACATTGTTTAATTCAATGCTTATTTGTTTTATCTCCATTTTTTTTTCTCAAACACGCTTATCTCCAGCTTCATCATGCTTGACATCAACAGGGAAACCTTAATGTTTCACAAGGCATTTTTCACTGTTGATGTTAAAATCATTGACATTATTTTTTTCAGATTCCTATGTTTTTTTTTCATCTTCTCCGACCCAAATCCGAGACACTTATGTTGCTCCTGCCCTTTGTCAGTGGAACACTTCGCTAGGTATGTCTCTCTTGCACACAGAGGAAGGGCGCCCAGCTGTCTATTCAGCATTTCACCTCACTGCTCTAATCCCATATTCCTTGTTTCTGTTTCCTAGGAAAATAGATGTTCCTGTAGGAAGTGAGCGTTGCCTACCAGCAGTCCAACTCGTGGATCTCATCAGTATTGTGTCCACTAGTCTACCATCGTGCCAGCATGGCCATGCCTCCAAGGTGTTTGATCAATGACTGTAAGTTAGATTTGTATGAGATTAAAATCTGTGGATTCTTGTTGAATTCATGATTCCAACGCATGATAACTGCACATGAATTTGTAGCTCTGAAATTACTTCAGACACCTGCATTCGTTATCTTATCTAGTGAATTATTATCTAATAAAAGGATCACATCACTGACCTCCAATACTGTATTTCAATGTTATTGCAGGATATTTGTCCTATGATGGGTTTGAAGGATAATTCTCTCTTTAGATTAAATAGATGAGATGGTGAGCTGATCTGTCACTTTATTCCAAAATTTAGTCAGGCCTGAGTGATTTACGGAATATTGCTCTGATGAGATTGTTTTATGTTGATCCAAGTGATCATTTCTGGGGTCAGTGTATGGAAAGAAGAGCAGAAAATAATTGTAAACACTATCAAGAGTTTTGTGTGTCAAAGAAATTTTGATATGGAAAATGAAAAGGAGAGAACCAAAATATTATAGCTCGAAATTTCATTCTGTACTTTTTTGGTCCTAAACTGAACATGGAAGTTCTTTGTGGTAAGGCCACCTATCCAGAGTTATTTCAATCTCAAACAACCATTATGATAATTTTTAACTAAACTAATTATGCCACATAAATACTATATACAGTAATCTGGATGGAATTGACAACCAAGGCTCTACGCCCGCATGGACGCATGCAATTCACTAGTATGATTTATGAGAGGTTGCTGTTGCTGAAAGCAATACATCATCTGCAGGTCTGAATAACTGGATGCCAGTTGCCCGAAAGACTGTCAGAATTCAAAAGTAATAATAACAGGAAAATATTGTGTTAAAGGGACTACAAGATTATACGACGACGTAACTGCAATCGTGATATTTATTCATTACATTATTATGGATGGTACCCTGTTTCGAATAAATAGTGGCACCTTGTCGCCTAGGTGCTGCCTAGGCACACCCAGCTCTTGCCTGGACGCCTTGTCGCCTTTGAAATCATGGATGCTATGCTGTCTAGATCAGTAGACTAGCCTTGATAACCATACAATGTGGCCTTTTAGCTACTTCCAGAATTGTACTGCAATCCAAAATGGATATAACAACTCAACAAGCAGACCTTTCGCCGTTGCTTTCAATTGCCTGAATAGTTTGCTACGCTGATTCTAACAGAAACAGGAAAAAGAACAAGAAAAACTCCACATTGGTTCCCCCAAGTGCTGGGTCCAATAATGCATACCGTTTACTCTTTAGGCTGATCAGATGGAAGCCATTCAAGGGTGCTGCCACTAAACATAGGCACAATCTCCCCTGAACTGTGTTTATAAGTTGCAGGAACTTTCCAGGCATTCTTTCTCAAGACAATCTTTGAAATGTTCCTTGGGAGGCCATAAAAATCGGGGCCATTGAAGCTTGTAAATGCTTCCAGCTTATCTAGGGCACCAGCCTGAAATAGTGGAAACATGTCCAGAAAAATAAACCAATCAAAAAAAGAAATTTCAGCATCTGTGCAGTTTGTGATAGTTGCAACTTCAGTGTCATGTACGTAATAGACACCAATCTACAGCAAGATGATTTTCTTGAATTCTAGTAATAGTGATGAAAAACGGTCATGTATTCTCTCACAAGCAAAGATAATTGAAAAGCATGAGAGTGCTGGAGATAGAGATTACCTCTTCAAATACCTTCGCATAAAGAGACAAGGCAACAGGCGCACTATATATTCCTGCACATCCACAGGAACATTCTTTGTTCCGTTTATCATGGGGAGCGCTGTCAGTACCAAGAAAGTACCGTCTACTCCCATTTGTTACAGCAGATACAATAGCTTGTCCTGGGTGATGGTTCAGAAAAGTTATAGTCAGAGTGTGGTTCAAATACATAACAAAAAAACTTTTTAACATGACAGTTAATTGAAATGATAGCCAATACCCCAATTTAATCAGGCAACAGAAAAATGTAAGACAAGAAATTGTTATGAATCTATAGTTATATATTGACGAAGGGATATTTGGTCACATTTTTTGACAAAAAATCATTATCGTCATGTTTAAGAAGCGGTTTTCATAATTTCTGAAGAAATTCTAGTTATTTTGTGAACCAAAAGAAATATGATTGTGCATTTTTATAACAAATGGTAGCATTTCTTATAGGAGGCAATTGCAACATACTATGAGTCTCTCTTTTCAGTACTGGCAAGCAATAATTGTGTGGCTGCAAGCCACCCTGAAATAAAGCATTCCTATTGAGAAGAAGATGCTGGGGAGTCACTGTTGCAGCAACATGACCTGGGAACGTGAAAGTGTTATACTCATAACAAAGGAAGAAGTATAATGCCATTCCCATAGAAAAGAAAAGGGAAGAAGTATGATGCCATTCCAGCAGTAGTGCAGCACCTTCTTCACATGATTCTATGAAATTCACTGCATCCATGGTTGTGATATGTTCCATGACAATTTTCAGCTGTGGAAGTTTTTGTACAAGTGGAGCCAATATTTTGTCAATGAAAACCTTCTCACGATCAAAGGTGTCAACATGTGGATCTGTGACTTCTCCATGAACCTGAAGAAAATAGCCATAAAAGATGTTGCACAAGGCAGTGTGGCAAAACCAAATTATTAACTAGAAGCAAGAATTGCTCAACAGTTATGTCCAGTAGAGACTAGTCATGTGGATAAAACTCCAATTAAAAGGTCAATAGTGTGTCAAGAATGCAATGCGCCAAAGCTACTTACAAGCAATGGCATTTCCTGCCTGACCATCTCCTCGAGGACTGGCAAGCACTTCCCAAATATATCAGTGACGCCATCTTGGGAATTGGTAGTTGCTCCGGCAGGATACAATTTCACAGCAAAGATTATACCACTCTTTACTAAAACCAAATAGCATGGAACATAAACATCACTGTCCAGATAATCCATAAATGCACACAACAGTTGGTATTTTAAGCACATTGGACAAATTTTTCAACAGATTGTATGTGGCAACAAACTCATTGCGCAAGTGCACATCTGCATTGTATGCAGCTCTCCACCACAAATAGACAGTGAAACTAACAATAGTGCTGACTACTGTTTGGATTCTTACTGGTTAGGGTTCTGGAGCAGATGGATGTACACAAAACACCACCACCACGGCACTCGAAGCTGATCTGCAGACTGGTTTTTGAGATGTTGTGGCGTCCTGTGGCGCTGGGGCTATGTCTAAACACCTAGGAGCCTTCTATGTGACGCTTAGGTTATATGGCGTAACTAAAACCCTGTGCCGTCCTGCGGCGCCTAGGGTACGCCTCAATGCCTAGGCAATGCCTCAAAAACCATGCTATATGCCGGCATACCACTAGGTAAAGACGATGCTTCAGTTCAAAAGATTAACGAAAGTGGAGAACAGGTATGTTACTCCAGAGAGAGACTTCATACTTGCGAGCTTGATCTCCTCTGGGCTTGTGTTGTCTGTGAGGTACAGTGTCATGAGCGGCACGAAGCTACTCCCTGGCGGCAGCGCCCTCAGTATATCTTCCCTGTACTCCACTGCCCGCGCCGTTGTGGTCACCGGCGGCTTCAAGTTGGGCATGATGATGGCCCTCCCAAAATGCATCGCGCTGCCACACAACCTCAGAAACGTTACGTCGAACACCTGGCGTGCACCGCCAAAAACCAAGCAGCAGCTACTATCAGGTGAACCTGTGTGGCACTACAGCCTCGAGGACACCGCCTTCACGAAGATGGAGATGCCAGTCGTCGGGGCGAGTGATGATCAGCTGATCCTGCAGCTGCGACTTGGTGGCCATGGCAATCGCCCTCAGGTTCGGACGTGGAGAGGCGTGGAAGTAGACGCGGCAAGGAGGGGATGGCCGGAGGTAGGAGGACTTTGTTGGGTGCGGGTGAGCGCCGACAGTGGTGGTGTTGACGGCGACCTGCATTGGCTTCGCTCGCTTTATTCTATTGGCCCTCTCCGGTGGCGAGCGCGGCGTCCGACTCCTAAGTAGGGGCAGAAGGGGCCGGGGACCGAGAAAATTTTATTTTTAGACCGTCTCGGACGGCGTGACCCAAATACAAAATGCGTTCCACATGGTGTTTTAGTAGCCAAAACCATCCTCCAACGGAAGACCGAAACCAGATACTTATTCTGGGTACTCGGCGAGTCGGAAGGCAATTCTGCATCTTCGAAGAGAGACGACAAACATGTAGTGGTGGGCCCGTCGGAGCCGCAGTGGCGCAGCGCCCTGCCCCACGCTGCGGCCCACCTCCCCGCCGGCGCACGCGGCAAGCTTGCCCCGACGCGATGAGCCCTGTCCCGGCGCGCGGCCCGCCTCCACCTCGGCCACGCCATCCTCCTCACCTCCGCCATCTCCCTCCTCCGCATGGGATCGAGCGCAGGTGTGTTGCCCTTTTCTCGGGCGGCAGCCCTGCCCCGGCGCAGCGGCCCGCCTCCACCTCGGCGCGGCGGCCCACCACCACCTCCGCGTTGCCCTGCTCCGGTGCGACGAGGAGGAGGCAGGGGTGCGCGGATCTGGTCCCCGCCGCCGCTCACCCTGGCCGCGCGAGGCGAACTGGCCCCTAGACCGGCCGCCCAGCCCTAGCGCGCCGAGCCCGCCCCGGCGTGGCGTCCTGCTTCCCCGCCACCGCGAGCCTCCCCGGCGTGACAGTCTCCTCCACCTCCTCCACCTCGGCGCGACAGGCCGCCTCCCATTTGGGGCTTGCTGCTCAGGCCCTCTGTTGGAGAGGTCCAGTTATGGGTACCTAATTCTTTTACTGTGCGTTACCTAAACTGTGAAATGGGTCTCACATTTGAGTTCACGCTGTTGGAGTTAGTCTTAGCAGCCTAAACAATGCGCTTTATAAAACTAGCATCCGAAACATTGTTTTCGTAAAAATAACACCCAAAACAATTGCTTCTTGTTTTCTTTACCATTTTACCTTTTTCTCCTTCTTTCTCTTTATTTCTCCTAAAATATGGATAAAAGTGCCCCTGTGCTAATTGAGACGCTAATTTCACGTTTTGATATGGAAGTATATGTATGGTATACATATATAGAAGTATTTAGTTGCAACCTAGAGTCCAGATTTACATTTATGTACTTATAACGGTTGGGTTGGGCTAAAATGCAATTTCTGCAGGTACACTAACAACGAAACGTGTAGCTCACTTAGTTACGATTATATTGAGAGAACGTATGTATGCCACCGCGTATGTCGTTAGGATTTATTTTTCTAAGTTGTGAGGACATCCACATCTGCTGGGCACTGGGCAGTGCTGGTCGTCGCTGCAGGCCTAGGCGCTGGCTGCCTGCGTATGACTTCATGTCTATGTGCCTGGACACATACACAAGATGGCCACATACCCATATAATAGAATAAACAAATTTATAATTTGAGATTAAATGAGTTTAAGGAAAAACGAGTCTATCTCACAGATCAAGAGAAAACGAGGTCATCTCACATTAGACTGAAGGAGTTCATCTCACACACCCATAAATTAAACCTAATTGAGTTCATCTCATATCAAATAAAAGTGACCACATCTTGCAAAATATCATTCATCCAATATGTAGCTTTCTCTTTAGAGTCATGTTTTTTGGTGCAAATGCAATAGGTATCCTCATAGGAGTAGTGGTGGAGGTCTACGAAGAACTGTCCTCTCCTAGTAAAAAAGCAAGACGGCCGCACAAATGTGTGTAATGACAATTAGACAAATCTTTTTATTTGTTTAGAGTAAAATGACATAGGTTAAATGTGTTACTATTTCGTACCTTCTCGTTATTTTTTTTGTAGTATCACATAGTATTTGTTCTCTTGTTGGTCTTTATGGGGTGCTAAGCCTATGTGGATTCTCTTTTTTAACGTTCTTTCTAGGCTGCTACCTCTTTCTACAAGTTCAAAAAAATAATATTTATAATGACATGGTGATTCAAGGGTTGCATAAAAAAATAGGACTTGCCTCTTTTTCTTTGTCCCATTGAGTGGACACTTGGAACTAGCTTGCCTGTGACCCTTTTCACCATATTTCTTGCAAGTTATTGGGTCTCTAATCATTTTCTTCCCTTTAGCATTAGTTGGCACAGTGTCATTATTTGGAGCAGTAGCATTGTCACCTTCTACATCTTTAGCACCTTTCTTCTTATAGCCACATCCTTTCAACCTGAGTTTTCTTCATTTACCCATATTTCCTTTAGCAAGAGGAGCACCAACAACAAATGGCAACTTCACTTGAGGCCATTGTGTTTTGTCCGTTATTGGCTCAATCTCTCTACCATAAGCAGTCTTGAATCTATCCACCGAGTAATACTCATGCACAAATTGTTCAAGGTCAACTCCCCGTTGTTTGGTTATAAAGGCCAATGCATGTTGACATGGCTTACCAGTATGTTGCCATTCAAGACAAGTACAAGTCCGTTGATTTAACTTCACAATATGCCTTTCAACTTTCTTGTTATTGTCCCAGACCTCTGCACTCCAATTAGCAGATGCATGTATTTTCAAGTGTCCCAACCCTCTAGTATTTGTCTTTAGCTAAACCATAACACTTGGAAGTATCCTGCCAGTTGGTAGTCTATCTCCAATATTTCTTCTCTTGTTCCACAATTTCATGATCATCTCTCTGACCTGCAAATTACACAATTAATATCGAACATATACATTTGAAAAAAACACACATGTAGGAAAAATATAGGTAGCTATATTCACCTTATCCGCAAGTTCAGCAACAAGTAAGTCCTTGATGTCTCTTATCCAATTATTAAAAATCTCTGCTATATTATTAGTGATGTAGTCACACTTAATTTCTGGATTAAAGGCACACCTATACCACAACAGCTTATGGTAGTCTTTTAACCATTTCAACACTTCTTCAGATTCATTAAGAATTGCTGCCATGTGATCATAGAATATTTCTTCCCTATAAGCCCTTGCCGCGGGATACATCTTGCCAAACTCTCTGAACCTTTTCTGAGAATTTTTCATAAGATGAAGAAAGCATTCTCTTTGCTCTACATTAGGAAACACATTCTTTACTGCATTCTCTAAGCCCTTACATGCATCCGTGCACACAGCAAGGAGTGAAGGATCACCTATTGCCTTCTTAAGTTGATTCATAAACCATGTCCAGTTGTCTTCCGTTTCAGAAGGTATGAACCCATATGCAAGTGGGTACATCCAATTGTGACCATCAACTGCTATAGCCGTGGCTAAATGACCATTCCATCTTCCATTAAGTGCTATAGAATCTATGCTCAAGTAAGGTCTACATCCTTCCAAGAAACCATCAATGCATGGTTTAAGAGCATAGAAAAAACGATGAAAATATGCATTACCATCCGCTTCAATTACTTCAATCTCCACCACACTTCCAGGTGACCTCTTCAGTACCTCGACCTTCCATCTGAAGAGTAGCTCAAAACTCTCTTCCCATTTACCATAAACCCCGGCCAGAGCTATTTCTCTACCCCTCCATACCTTGTCATATGAAATTGTGACAGAGTGATCTTTTTGCAACTTATCTTGCAATTCTTTAGCACCCATATTGGGAGAATCCCTAAGGATACTCACGGCATTGCTAGCTACCCATTTCTAAGAAGCTGCAGTAGCTTTCATCCTCATGGAAGAAACACATGTATGGCGATCAGTTAAAGCTGTGACATGCAAATTACACAAGTAATAAGAAACAAATAAATTTATGAAAATCACACTAATTTTTAGGAATATAGCTAGCTATATTTACCTCCACGGTGCTTTGGCCTTTATGTTTGCTGGCATTTATTTTCCAAGGGCAATCATCACTAGACTTGTAGAAACCTCTAAATCTCTCCTTATCAGAGTGCGTTGTCCCTAATTGAAACTCCTCATTGATTGCAAATTGTCGCACTGCCAACCTGAACTCGTCCATTGATGGGTACATCATACCAAGATCCATTTGTGGGTGGTCCTTATCATATGAAATAACCAACTCAGTGGGTATGTCATCATTATTAGGAATCACAGCATCATCGTCATGACTACCCTCCTCAACCATTACACGACCATGTGATGCAGCTACCTTTCCTAACTCCTCATCTCTCAAGCCTATAAATGTCCATGTAGCCCGAGGCACGACGGCACGGTACGAAGCCCGCTTTTTTAGCCTGACACGAGCACGGCCCGGCCCGATGACGTACGGGCCCGGGCTAGCCCAGCCTGAGGGTGCAGGCCATGTCTGGGCCGCTGCTCAGGCCCGTGGGCTGGCATGGCATAGCTCGGCCTTCGGCGGTTGGCCCGACAATGGCCCGGCCTGCCCCTCCCCCTCCTGGGCCTCCTCACTCCTTTGTCCCCTCCCCATGGCCCAGTATGGCCCACCGCCCACCGTCCCCGCCTCCCCCCTCGGCCTGGCTAACCCTAACACCCCATCGCCTCCATGTCCACACAACCTGGTGCCGGCTAACCCTAACACCCCCTCCTGAGAAGCACGGGCAGCCACGCAGCCATAGCCCCTCGGCCCTCGCTCCCTCCCCGAGTCGCCGGTAGCCTCCACTCCTTCCCCTCCCCAAGGCCGGCCTCCACTCCTCCCCCCGCCTCTGAGCCTCCCAACGCTCTCATCCCCGGTCTCCGCTGGAGCTCAAGGTCGGCCGGGTCTTCCCCCTTCAGCCCTTCTCCTCCCTCCTCTCTCCGAATCCGTCACTAGCCATGCCCAAATCCATCGTCCCCTTGGCCGGATCCGGCCTGTCGGCACGTAGATCTATGGTGCCATGGGGGGAGGTGGATGCGGTGGCAGGGCTGTGGTGCAGCGGCAGCGTGGCGGTGGCACGAGCCACGCGGGCTACTCCGGTGGCCCTACTGCACCATCCGTGGCCTAGCTGCTCTCGGTGGCCGTAGCTCATGGAGCTGTGGGTGGCATCGAGGCCGGTGCCGTGTGGGATGCCCCACCCTCCCCTCGGCCCTCTAAAAGGTC